GCTCCAAAGGTCTAACAATCTGAGTCTGGATGTCCAATAGGCCCAAATCAATAAGCTCACTTCCTTCTGCCCCTGCCTTCTCCTTTTCAAAATGCCGCTGCTATCGTCGCAAGCCAGCATGGGGGTGGAGGAGATTCAGAAACACTCAAAACGTCATCCAGGGCCCGCTTAGAGCGACCCCCTTCCACCAAACGCTCCCCCCCAGCCTGCCCAACAGATGGTCTCTCCCGGGGGACTCCTCCCTTCCAAAGCCTGGGAGCTCTGTCACTCGAAATTCCTGTTTTTCACTCTTTGCAAAGCCGCCGTCATTCTCAAAACGCCGCTGCTATCACCGCCGCTGCTATCGTCGCAAGCCAGCATGGGGGTGAGGGAAATTCAAGAGCGTTCAAAACATCATCCAGGGGCCGCTTAAAGCAACTCCCTCCCACCAAACGCTCCCCCCGGCCTGCCCGACAGATGGTCTCTCACGGGGGTCTCCTCCCTTTCAAAGCCTGGGAAGGCTTTTAATTGCTCCCTAAGGTTTGTCACCTATGATTTTCAAAAATCTGAAAACCACTCCATTTTTTAAAACTGAAAAGTGGAGTAAACTATCTTAGGTGAATTAGTTTTTAATTTTTCCAATTGTAATCTTTAATAATCATTATTTTTTAAAAAAAGTATCTTCAGTGAACTTTTTACGGGTTTTAGCATTCGGAAAGAGGAAACTATCTTCTTTGATCCAACTTTCAGAAAGTTTTGTAATTTTCAATAACTTTGTATAAACCAAAAAAAATATTATTTTCAAAAGACACTTTAATTAAATAGCTTCTTGAGATCATTGTTTGATATTGGAAAATATTTTTATAATTTCTGGCTATAATCTTCTTTTTTAAAAATTCTATAGGACAGTTATATTTGCATGAAAAAAGATCCTTTTATTTAACATGTCCCTTGAGGACAATTTTTATAAAAGTACCGAGTTTATTCAAGGCTGCCAACATTTCATGATGACAGTTTCAATGGGCATATAAATCTAAGGCATAAACTGAAATCTAGGATTAAAATAGTCCTTGAGGAGGCACACTTCTTGTTTAGTCTTTTTTCCTTTTTTTAAGTTGAACAGTTTTTTAAAAGTTTGACACTGCAGAAAATATTTAATTACACGAAACAAATTGCATCAGCATATTCAGCCATCTCATGACAATTTGGCTTCCCTATATATTGGACTAAAATCCCACTGTCTCCAATGAATGCTCAATAGCTAGGGACGATGGACATTGTTGTCCACCATAATCAGATTGGGGAAGATTGCTATATAGAGAGGTGTCAGCATTTGGAAAAGCTGTTTTTTCTTCACTATATGTCTTTTAAACATTTGTCAGTTAGAGACCTGTGATTGATTTCAGATTAATTTTGAATCGCAATGCTATGCTGCACATTAGAAAATCATTGTTGAATTTTTATTTACCTTTTAACATGTTCCTATTGTGATGGCATCAAAATTTGATGAACCAAAACATTTGAAGTACATGGGATATGGAATAGTTATCTTTTATATTTTAATGCTGCAACTGTTCTTATATGATAGCTTAGCTTGATATGAATCCATTTGTTTCATTTGTAGGTGAGCAAGTCAAACCATTTACACCAGAAGAAGCTAGAGAAATTGTGATGACTCTTCAAAAACCTGTGGTCTTCAGCAACATGACCTTCGATTGGCCGGTACTTCATTGGAATGTTACACATCTGGCTAGTCTATTGGCTGGAAAGAAAATACTTTTTCGAATAGGAAGGAAGAGCACAGGTAGAGAAGTACAACCTTCTTTCTAATTTCTCCCTGTACAGATACAGTATTTCGGGTGTATTTTCTCCTTAAAATAAATGGGAAATGCTACAGAATGGTTCACAGTAATAGCCATTTTAAAATGATAAAGAATAATAAAAGCATGCCCATTGTGAGACGGATTAGCAACAAGGTGCCCTCCAATTGTACAATGAAATGAAATGAAAGATCCACTGACATCCATTCACTAACCAGTATTCCTGAAAGAAACAAATTCTTTTTTCCCCCCTTAAGACTTCCTCTGCATCTATTCTAAATGTCTGGAGGGATGGAAAGAAGCTTACCTGCATGAATATAAGAGCACTGACATAAAGTTTGACATTGCTTTCACTGTTCAGGTAGTCCTCGACTTACAACAGTTCATATAGTCACTGTTCAAAGTTACAATGCCACTGAAAAAAATGACTTATGACCAATTTTCACACTAACGGCTTTTGCAGCATCCCCCATGGTCATGTGATCAAAATTCAGATTCTTGGCAACTGACTTATATGCATCATAGTTGCATTATCTTGGGGTCATGTGATATCTTTTATGACCTTCTGACAAGCAATGTCAATGGATAAGCTAGATTCACTTAACAACTATGTTATTAACTTGACAACTGTAGTCATTCACTTAAGAACTGTGCAAGAAATGTCATAAAATGGGGGTAAATTCATTTAACAAATACCTTGTTTAGCAACAGAAATTTTGGGCTCAATGGAAGTTGTTATTCGAGGACTACTGATACTACAATTGACAGAACAGCATATTTATTTACAACTAGGACTTCTCCCATAAAGCTCACTGCCTGTTCAAATTAATGATTACTAGTGCTGATAACCCGGCATTGCCCGGGTATTTGTTTATATGGAGGAAATGTCCAGACAAAATATAATTTCTAATAGTGGATTTTTTCCCTTACCAGAGGGAATTCCCTTGTGGATACTGCGAAGCTGTTACCTTGGCAACTCCATTGCGCTGCATAGTGCGGCAGTACAGTAGAAACCATTTTAAGCCACAACAGGCTGTATCATAACAGAACACATATCCCGAGGGGTGTTAGGGCTGTCTTACCCCCAGAGTATTTGTTTCCAGGGAGTAAGTCATCTGTGTGCCAAGTTTGGTTGAAATTGCTCAAGGCATTCCAGAGTTATGCTGTTTTTACTGTTGCTGTCAGCCTCTGCTTTGCTGCT